TTAAACACACCATACCTCACATAGAGACATGTTTGTTGGTTTCTTTAAGTGGTAATAAATGGAAATACTGTTACTGCTAGTTGGGGCCCAGCTGTCGGCGTTTAGCAAGATTTACATCGTCTCACATTAACTTTAATTTTTATGCTGACAATACAATTGTGTATGCCTCTGGCTCATGATGTAGAGAGATAGGGGAGAACTCAGACAAAAGAGTGGGACAGTAGAAGGAAACCGTAGCATTATCAAAGTTGGAGTGGATTTTGCCAACAAAGGAAGACAAAAGAGTTTTAGTCTAATGTTGAGGAGGCAGATACAAGCAGGATGAGCAGAGTGGTATTAAAGAGGAACCTGTGTCTCTTTGACGTTTTGGTAAAATGTGTAATATCTGGCCACATTAAAATAATGAACTTACATCAGCTCTGACATTATGTCAAAGACATCTATGTATTCCAGAGATATCTACTGAAGTTAGCATGCTAACCCGCTAGCTCGGGCCCATCCTGTCTTGGATTAGTCAAGGCAAGTTTATTTGTATAGCACATTTCAACAAAAACAAAAATAAAAACAGGCAGGTCTCTCACCTGTGCTTATTTTACTCCTTTAGCCCCTTTTCGACTGCATAGTACCAGCTCGACTCAACTATTTTGGGGGGTTTTTTGGGAAAAGTTCTGCCTGTACCTGCTGCCAGGTACTTGTTTTCGTATCACCTCCATCGAGGTTCCAAGCGAGCTGAGGTGATACTAAAATGTGACGTGAAAACACAGCATCACTGCACCAGACAGAGGCCAGCAACAGAAAGTTTTATATTTTACAATTTTCATACGTTATTTCATCACTAAATCCACTTCTGAGAAGTTTTGAGGTGAGAAATCAACTGTGTAGATTTCAAATATGTTTTATGAAAAGTGATGGCAGAACAAAAATGTGCTTGAAAGTTTTCAGAGTTGAGGAGCTCCACAAGTGGCCTGCACCAACCCGCGGGAGGAGCTCCCGAGTCCGGCCGGCCGGCCGCTCATATATCAAAGTTAAATTATTTCAAATCCTTGTATACTCGTGTGCAGGTTTAGCTCAGTCTGTACTGTTTGGGACTCCTCTTAAGAAGGTTGTAAGATCAATTCCAAATAACTGTGGATATTTTTTTTCCCCTTGTTAAACAAATTGATTAAAAGGACACTTTTGCACATGCTCACAATAAAGCATGTGCTGCAGTGTGTGTGCGCGTCCCGCCGTTTGATCCGCATTCATAAACCTATGGACGCGAGGAAATTCAGGGGAATCCAATCACAGGTTTACTGATGGCTTTTTCAGAGGTGCGTCAAGCAAGCCAGAGTCTCTTTTGAATGTCCTTCGGAACTCTTCAAAGTAAAAGCTCTCAATAAAGCTCGACAAAGCATTTCTGCAAAAAACATTCTGGTGCTTTTATTTTGGAGGTACAATCTCTTAAGAGGAAGTGATTGTGTCAGGAACTGTAGCTGTCATGACTAGGGATGACGATCGTTAATTTTTATTGATATTGATACCCTTATTGAGACTGCTTAACGATCCGATTCTTTATCGATACCACTATGGATACTTTACTATTATTTAGTGATGGTTATTTAGTAAGACCAGACCCAACGGGCATGAGGTAGGCCTGCAGGGTATGAGGAAAATATTTAATGTGCGATAACGTTATATATTCAGATGACATAACACTTGCGATAAATAAACATATATTGAAGTGTGCATATTAACTGCCTGGTTGTTTCTAATTTAATATTTTAAATACAGCTAAATGTTGTTTCTAGAGGAGCAACATTAATGTTTATAACATTAAAGTAACTCAATAACTTTATCTGACATCACAAGTAAGTGAGTGGCATTTAGAAAGAACAACATCAGTCTGTATCACTCCCTCCTCCCTCGCTGGCTGCAGGTAACGTTACCAGGTAGAAGGAGGAGCGGCTGGTTTGTCTCAGCCAGCAGCTGAGTTTTTAAAACAGACAGCTTTCTATTTAGCTTGTTTGTAACATTTGGCTAATGCCAAGCTAGCGTTAGCTGTGCTTTTATAAAATATACAGGATGAGATACTGAGGACAGAGAAGATTAAATTAACCATTTCTACATGTTTAACGTTACCTTACAGACAGGTGTATTGATAAGTATCTTTACTTTTTACTTGCGAAGGTTTTATTGCACGTACTTACAGTAACGAGCGTAACTGTCATCAACTAACGTTACAGTAGTTTGGAGCTAACTTACCTCACCGTATTCCACCGCGACGGCGCAGCCTCTCGCTCTGCTGCCGCTGTGTGTGTGTGTGTGTGTGGGAGCCGACAGAGACTGCAGCCTGATGATTTTCTTATCCATTGCGTTTCAAATTAAATCAGATTTGATGCTCAAGACATAACGTTACATCATAGGACCCGCAAGTCTCAATAGCAGTATCGATAAGTTCGAACCTTATTGATTTTCGGGTTTTGAGAAATTTTGGAACCGGGTGCTTTTGGAACCGGGTCTCGATCCCCATCCCTAGTCATGACTGAGATCTATTTCAGCACCAGCCACTATCGATTTGTCTTTCTCTTATTTTTCTGCTATCAAAGCAATCTGGCCACGGCCCAGAAATTATTGCTGGCGGGCAAGTTTTGGCCCTCGGGCTGCCTATTGCCGACCACTACCCTAAGGGGACTCTAACCCTTTAACGCTTAGGCCCCATCCACACTACTCTGTTTTAGTTTACAAACGTAGAATTAAAACGAATACGATCTCCATCCACAACAGCGTTGTAGCTGCGTTTCAGAGTTGATCTCCGTCTACTTTAAAACAACTGAAACCACACCTCTAGTGGCCGTTCACTTACACTGGGCGGTGTAAACATGAATTTTTTTGCATGGACCAATAACGAGCTGGGACTGTTACTGAATATAGCACAGCAGTATGGCAGCGGAAAAAAGACTAGGTTAACTGCGACATGCAGTACAAGTGTAGGCAGATAAGTGTTATTTGCACGGTACATAATATTTCAATGAAAATACCAAGTCAAAAACTCAAGGCCTGAGCGTCTGCGTCATCGTTTCTCAAGTCCTCCGTTTTTGTCCGACTTCACTAAAATGCCCTCCGGAGTTTCAAATTGAAAAACAGGTCTGTTTTAGGCCTTCATTTTCGCCATTTTAGTCTGGACGGGTGGTGCAAACATAGTAAAATGCAGTAGTGTGGATGGGGGCCTTAGGGACTCAAACCCTAAGGGGAGTCAAACCCTTATTCCTTGGGATTACCACATAGGCAGGAGAGAAGCCCCTCCCCATCCATCGTCAGTCAAGGCAATGGTCCTTTAATTTCATTTTTGCAGAAGAAGTAATGCGAAAAGAGCAGAGATGCAGAATCACTTAGAGAGTAGCCTTGCTAAGGAGGAGGAGGAGGAAAAATTCTGCCTACAATTTGTCTGGAGTTTAGATTTCTTCCAACTACACTCCACTCTTCTAACTTCCCTTTTTTGCTGATAAATGTTATAATTGATCCGAGGGCAAGAGTTAGCTGCAGAAAAGGACCTGGTGTTGTAGGTGTGAAGGAATTTTCCTAAGGGGGCTCAGTGTGGGTAAGAAGTGAGGAACAGGTCATACACATGTCACGTTCAGGTCATTTGCAAACATAGAGGAATGACCTCTTTCTCTCTAGCAATAGTTCATACTGCTGTCTTTCTCTGTGGGCGCATGAAGGAAGCTGGGTAGATAGGAACAAGCCATTGCCAAGACAGTCAAGGACAAGAGATACGTTGCTCTTCTTCAGTCTTAGATGTTTAGAGATAGAAAGTATTATATGTGTTCTGGTTAAAAGAGTTGGTAATATTTTGGTAGTAATGGGTGTGTGTTAGGTTACTAGGTAGAGCATACCTTACAGCATGTCATTCTCTCTCTCTCTCTCTCTCTCTCTCTCTCTCTCTCTCTCTCCCTCTCTCTCTCTCCCTCTCTCTCTCTCTCTCAAATTTTCCTGTCTCTCTTCAGCCTTTCTATCAAATAAAAGCAAAAATCGCCCAAAAAAACATAAGTTAGTAGCAAGAGAATTTGAGAGGTTGTCAATGTGTACATTAAAATCGACAGCCATACTAACTCATCATATCATATTTGAGAACCACCGAATGTAACAAGTCAGAGTTCTTTAAAAAAAAAAAAAAAAAGCATTCTTAGGTGTGGGTGGTCAGTAGACAACCAAGCAGCAGACTGGGATATCACAAATGACAAATGTAATTCAAAACTATTGAAAGTACCCCATAGCTTGGTGGGTGTTTATGTGCTGGTTGCTTTGTTGTCTGACACATTGAGATCTTGACCTGAATCTGTATACAGTGTATACATGTTATAAAGTAATAGCAAAATAAAATTTAATAAAAGCCAAAAATTAGAAGGATGGTGCAAAATACAAATTATGATGCAACACATGAATAAAAATACAAGCTGCCGGTTACATCATTTCGAATTACAAGAAAACTGTAAAACCTGTAGCAAAAGGTGCAACTGGATCACCATGTTACAAATGTTAGTAATAAGAAGCATAGAAATATAAAATAAGAATGGAAAATGAAAAATCACAGGTTTAACTAAAAGAAAATATGTCCAACTGCAAGTTGAAAATAGGACGAAGTAGACTGAGGAATGAAGTTTGAGGTATATTATAACAACAGTGATTCTAAGCTGCGAACATACAATACGGTACGTGTAGTACCCAGAAATCAGTTCTCCTTATATTATTTGATGTTGCTGAAAATCATTTGCATACAAATAAAACTTTAGGAGATTAAAATTGCAGCTGCTCTGTTAAGACATTCTCACAAAACACACCTTGATTTTGTGAATCGTACAATGCACGCTGAAGAAGATGGATTTTACCCCATTTTTCAACAGCTAAGGAGAGAGGAGTCTTACTTTCAGCTCCTACGGCTGGATGGATGGAGGCTGTTGAAAGCCCTCATCAAACACGTTTGGAAAAGTCCTCCCTTCTTAGTCCCTGTTTCTGTTTCCCAGCAGAACGTGTACTACACCAGCTCTCAGCAGCTTCACCTGGGGGTGCTGAGTCCGACGATCGACGATGACGACAACAAGTGTCTAGTGGACGTGAACAGCAGACCCAGGCTGCTGGAGTGCAGCTACGCAGCCACCAAGCACATGAAGCTCACCTGGACGTTCACTCAGGTAAACCACACTCAAACAAAGGACCACAGTTGTACATGTACAATGCAGTCTTTGCAGCCAAACCCTCCATGCACAACAAAGACATCCAGCTGTGACATTTTACCCATTTCAGATCGGCTTAGCTGTGCCTTTGATCTTACTGGTTTGCTAATTGGTATTCTGTATGTAGCCATAACTTCCTGCTGTTTCTTGTCTGCTGGACCGAAGCTCTGTGAATTTAGAGCGGTTTTTCCAATTCACTGGCATAAGATTTGTGCCACTTCCTCTCCACTTTGTCTCAGACTCAAAGAGGCACCTCTTCTGTTTTTTTAGAGCGTGGATCATTCTTCTGCCAGTTTATGCGATGGGCGTTTTAAAAGCACATCTTCTCCGGTCGGATAATGAGCTTTCACACATCCACAGTTTCTGACTTTTAACAACCCTCTGTCTTATTTTTAATCTTCACACTTTTAATGTTGTCTTAAAATGTGACAGATAAGTAGAGGGAGCTGGATAATTAGTATAAAGAAGACACTACTGTATTCATGCCTCAGGCATCTCTAGTCTGTGTGTGTGCATTTGTACGTTCTGTGTGTGTGTGTGTGTGTGTGTGTGTGTGCGTGTGCGTGTGTACTGTTTTTGTCCCAGACATCAGACTGAATAAGAGGCTTTCTTAACTATCATTCCGATCCTTCCTCTCTCCTCCTCTCTGTCGCTACCCCATCCTCCAATGTCCTCAGAGAACAGTATCTCGTCATCCGTCAACTACTACTAGTTACTGGGCACACTGGCAGGGGAATCTGCCTTTAATTAGCATCGGCCAAAATCAGAAATCTCACTTCTAAGTTATGTCAGAAGTCAAAGAAATGAAACCCATTAAGCACATCCCCATGGGCGTTTGAAAAGAGAAGCCCATTTTCTTCGTAAAAAGTGTGTTGGAAAAGTCAAATAAGGCCTGATGCTGAACTACCAGCAACAGAGCAGATGAAACGTTAGATGTATGAAAGATTCAAAAGGGAAGGAGAAAAGTGAAATGAAATACAGTTAAGTTCAACATTTGATCACATTTCTCAGGTCAAACTTGTTCCCTATCAGTGAAAAAGGATTAAAAGCCAGAGAGTCGACAGAGTGTGCATACCAAATAGCAGCACAGGGTTGAAATCTGTCTCATCCTGTTCTATTATTCCTTCTCTTTTTCTATCCGTCCCTAGTGATGCATCAGTCGAATCCCCAGTGAGACACCAAATCAGTATCTGCACCTGTGCTACCCTTATTAAAAGCAGGGTTGATATTAGCCAGAATGATCACAAATGACCAACTTCTTAATCCCTGTCATTAAAAAATATAAGAAATTAAACTTTCTAAAGCTTTTAAGCTGATGATACACGGAGCAACTTTTAGAGCAATGGTGCTGGACAATGTTGCCATCAATGGTAATGAGTAAAGATTACTGCTGTAATCCCCTTCCCCCATCACTCCGCCACCCTCCCCGCACCACCACTATCCGTTCAAAACATAGTCGGACTTGCCACCAGCAAGATTGCCCAGCAAAATTGCTCAAAAAGTTGCCCCGTGTATCATCAGCTTTAGAGCCCTATTTCTGTCTATAAAGCTAGTTTGTATATAAACGTCTCCACTTAGTTAAAAAGTAATGTGTAGTAACAGTCTCATGCTTTCTTATGAATAGGGGAATAATCCCAATCACTTTCACAGAGCAAAACATACAGATTTTCCACTGAAAAGAAAAGAAAACACTAGTATGGAGTCTGTACACTATCAGAAAGAACTTTGACTTTAGATGTCAGGATTGGTATCAAGAAAGAATAAGTGGGATCAACGCATCCCTATGATGTTGTAGCTACTGATTTAAAAGGTTAAATTGTAAATACACTTCAGTGAAAACAAATCTTTCGGCAACAGCCACAGTGATGATGCAAAGCTTGGATTTTTTTCAGCTTCATCAATTGATTATTTTTGCCACTCAGGGACAGCAGAACAAGCTCACAACATTGAGCTCAAATAGACTAAAAACAAACAGACCTGCATTTTATGTGTTTCTCCACTCTTTTATTCAGGTTTGTCCTTTAATTTGTCCCTCGTATGTAATAATTTGATCAATTCTAAATATAAAGAATTTCATTAGCGCAGCTTAACTTCAATTTGACAGTTTCAATGGTACATACGCTCAGTTTTACTTTTTGTAGCCGTTCAGGGGAAAAGTCTTGAGTCTTTCATGTACGAGCGTCAGTACATTAAGTGGGATATTGTTTAACCAAGCAAAGAATCAGACACTTACACTGCTAACATGACTAATGACTCAGGCACATCCACTGATTTATGCTAGCCGTGGTAGAGGTATCATGCAATGATGCAATGTGATTTATGCTAATCAGAATGCTAGCAGCTTATGTAAACATCAACAGCAGTCAGATCAAACACACCATTGCACTGTCGTCCCATGTGCTTCACTACATTAGTCACAGTATTTGTATTAGTATAGTCATTTCCATGCTAACCGTCACCCATTGTTGGCTGGCCTTTAACAGGGTGGACGCTAAAGCAGATTAGCCTTTGGTGACCCTAAAATTATGGTTACTTTTCAAATTTAATTATGGGGATGGTTTCAAACGTAATTTAATACCAAAGAACCAGTAATTATTATTTAAAAAAGGCTATGGTCAGAGGAGCTGACACTGTTGGCCTACAACAAGACAGTGGTGGTTTGCAAAGCAGATGGCGTGGTTAGCTAGCCATCCAACTGAAATTATGCAAACACAAAATCAATAACGTAGATCAATAAAAAACCAAAAAGATTCTAGTCAAAAGCAGCAGAAATTACTAAAAATATGTTTTTATATGTTGTGTTTATGCATGCATTTATATTTATTTAGCATTAAAGCTATAAGTGTAGGAAGACTCTAAAGAGTGTAGGTTGAGGAGGCGACTCACAGATGGAGATGACAGAGGAAGGAGGCCAAAAGAAGAAACATACAGGTGGAGACAGACAAAGAAGAAAATTTCGGAGATGCAGGCCGAAGACGACAGAAGGGCTAATGAGATGAGAGCCAGAGAAAGGCAGGGTGAGAAAATAAAAAGAAAAGAACAACAGAGGAGCGGCAAGAAAAAGGAAGAGTCGGAGAGAGGCAGGGCTGGAAAAGGAGGCAGCGTTTCATGTGAAGCAGGCAAGTCAGTATTTGTAAATTATTGATAAGAAAATCTTTTACAATATTGAACTGAGCTTGACCCTAATGGAACGGCCATCAATAGAGAGAAGGAGAGGGGGAAAGTGGGAAAGAAGGGCATCAAGAAAGAAAAAAAAATTGCCTCACAAAAATCTGCCCGAGAGCTGGTAGTGTTTTCTGACATCAGTGGATTTCTTACATCACCTTTTTATTTAGTTGCTCGGCTTTTATTTGTCCCTTGATAGACGCCACTTACCTTAAGGTAGCCCAATAAAAAGTTTAATTTCACAAATGCTGAGCACATTGGCACTGTTCATTAGATTCTCTACAGAACACAACAACAGAGCAAAGAGCAGACGTACACATGGAGCTTGCTGAGCGAGAATGGTTCGCTTGCAAATGCGATCAAAGTTGAGACATCAAGAGAAACAGCAGTTCTGAGTATTGATCACAACATACTCTACAAATCCAAACTGAGAAGTGAACAGCAGCACTGAATATAACAGTTATTTGATGTAGCTTGCATCCTTTATGCACACATGTAAGTCACTGTTTTTTCCATGTATCATTTAGGTTATAATTTATTCGTAATACAGGATAGATGCTCTTTAAACTGTACTATTTATGAGAGATCTCTGCTCTGTTTCACTGATGCTGGATCATGTTCAATTCATTATAATCAGTAATTTATAACAACTGCTCCCAGACGAGCAGCTACTTTCTAAGAGATTGTGAACACTGCAAATACCGGCTCGTGTTTTCTTTACACTCTGCACACACAGCTGTGGCTTAAGTCAATAACATTTTGGAAACTTTTAATTGGAAGGCTTTGTCTGACTTTACTATCAGACTTTGTTAGTTATTGACATATTTGTGAACTGCCAACATTACTTTCTGCGTGTGTGGTGTGATATGAAAGAACCTTTTGGGTTTAAATATTCCAAAGGTACACAACTGTTTTGCCATCTGGTTTGTCAAATCTTTGAAGTTCAATATCTTAGAACTGCATTCTCTGCAGAATAAGCCTCATATTTTCCAACCTTCCAACACAGCGCACAGAGTACATAATTCATCGTGTAACACATGTCATCTTTAAAGTAAATAAAAAAATCACTGGTGGAAAATATTTACACTAGGCAGGAGAGGATCGATGAATGCATACGGTCCCAGGGGCCACATATATAGACTGTGTATATATATGTATATACAGTGTTACTACAGTGTGAAATAGTAAATGAAGGTAGAAATACCTGCACCACACCAATGCCTCGTGAAAGAGAACAAGAAGAAAATACACCCAAGTGTAAAACGGGAGGTAAATTCAGACGGCTATTCTGTAGAGCTGAAAAGTCATCACAATAGATATCACATGCAAGAGGAACTTCACATGAAATCATTTTTTGCACTGGAAATATAAATTCATATATTCTTCTGTTCATCAATGTACATATTGTGCCAAAAAACTGCTTTTAGTGCTCAAATCTAGCTTGTATGCTTCCCCATGGGGTTGAAAGGGTGCTAAAAATAGATGTACTGAATCTTCTTTGAGGAAAAGTGGAAGACTGTTGCTGCCCCTCTTGTAAAAGATAAAATCAGCGCATTTCAGCATGAAAAGATCATCAAGCTTAGCTTTTATATGAATCACATTTGCACAAGCAGCTCATGCTCTGTGCTCCAGTCTTCTGTGCTCTTTGTCTCCATGCAGTGCTTATACTCACCCCATCCTTTGAGGTGAATGACTTGGTGATTGAGCATCTGGCTGACAGATTGCCTGACTTGCAGGCTGACTGGCTGTCTGATGGCTTTCTGGCTGACTGGCTGTCTGACCGACTGATTAAC